AGGCCGTCGGCGCTGTGCCGCGCTAGCCCCGCGCGCTGTCGCCCCAACACGCTGCTGCGTTGCAGACCTGCCTGCTCGTGACCTCGGGGTTCTCGCTGTACCTGGGAAACGTGTTCCCCTCGGAGATGGACTACTTGCGCTGCGCGGCGGGTTCGGTAAGCCGCGCCCCTCGGTGCCAGCCGCCAGCTGCGCCTCCGGGCTTCTTGCTCTGAGACCTACTCCTTGCTGTCACTCACCCTCGCTCACAATCTCTCATGTGGCTTAAGCTTCACATAGGGTTTATGGCTGTGGAAAACGCCCGAGGAAGCGAGTCTGGGTCACCCCGCGGACCCCAGGGCTGGAAGCGGCTCTTTGGTGTCCGGCTTGCAGCTGCTTCCAGCCGTCCGTGCGGCCCTCTGTGGGCAGGTCGGGGGCTGACCCCGCCGCTCCCGGAGCTCGTCGTGCCCTGCTCTGGACACACGGCGCACATCCTGGGTCTTGTGGGGGCCTCTCACCCCCGCTTCAGTGTCCCGAACACAGACTCAGCCTCCCGTGACCTGCCCCAACCTCTGCTGCCTTGTAACAAAACTCGAAACATCCCGACCGCCAGAACCTTCCGGTGGCCCTTGTCCTCCCCACTGGAGCAGCCCTTGTTGGGGCCACAGTGACATGACCTCTGACTCAGATGGCTCCAGGGCAGTGCAGTTCCAGGCTGGGTGTTCCAGCAAAATCCTGGGCAGTGCCCCTGGTCTTCAGAGGGGTTGGCTGGAGAGAGGTCGTGGGGTCCCAAGGGCCACCCCACACTCAGTGGCCCCCACCCAACCACCGCTGTGCGTCTTGTAGGCTCTGCCCCCACCATCTGAGGGACTGCAGGGGTCCCTTCCTCCGAGAGCGACACCTGATGTGGCCCCGAGGCCTGCACGGATACCCCGTCCCCTTCTCCACAGGCTCGGCGCCCCACGCCGGCCCCGATTCCCTTGTCCTCCGCTCCCGTGGGAGTCGCAGCGGGGGCCTGACAAGCAGCCCCGGGGCCAGGGCCAGGGCCAGGGCCAGGGCCGGGGCCGCCGCCTCCCCTTCCTTCCCGCGCGTGCGTCCCCCTTCCCGGTCCTCTGGAAGTGGGGCCGGAGCCTGACCCTGTGCCGCGTCCTGGCTCCCAGGGGTGCGGCAGCTCCAGCGGCGTTCGCTGCCGGAGGCCTTTTCCATCTCAACAGAAAGATTAAAGCCTTTTCCAGAATAAATGACTCTCACGAACCTGGGTGCCTGTATCCCGTTGGATGGCAACACTTGTTTGCCAACCTGTCCTGGAAGCTTAAGCTTTTCAGGGCACGGTCGTCACCAGCAGGAAGGCGCGGGTGACGGCCACCACTCACCGAGCTCTGGTTTCTTTAGTGCATCCCCTCGGCAATCGTGAGCTTCGCCGTTTCCAGGAGAAACGTCAACGTGGTGAGTCCCGTCTTCGTGCAGTCTGTGACATGGGGGCAGCCGCCCGCCTCCTGGGCTATGGAGGAGACAGACCCCAGGCCCTGGGTGGGCCGGACGGGCACGTGCGTGCAAGAGCGTGCGAGCGTGTGCAGGCGTGCGCGTGCGCGTGCACACATGTGCGTGGTGGGACGCGCCTCCATGCCCTCAGCAGCCCGTGCCCTGGCCGTGGCTTCCGTGCCCTCCCACCCCCGAGCTCACAGGGCACCCCACAGCTAATTCTTACGTGTCCCAGGCTTTAGGATTCTCAATTAATGACCTGGAATTCGGTTGATTATTACCTTTACTTCTCTACCTGTGCAAAGGAGAACAAAACCCTCCCGTCTTGTTCTGCAGATCCCCAACTTCCAGATGCTGTTTGTTTCCACATTTGCTGTCACCACGACGTGCTTAATCTGGTTTGGTTGCAAACTTGTCCTGAACCCATCAGCGATAGACGTGAGTCACTGGTGTGCTGCGGGTCCCTCACACTTGCCCGTTCGCCCGTGGGCGTGTCTGCCGTGTGTCTGTCGCGCGGGCGCGTGGCTGGCGTCAGTGAGCCCCCGTGGGTTGGAAACGCGTAAATGTGTGTCACAGCTCTTGAATTTGACCAAGTTTCTTTGATGAACTGTCTTTATTTAACTTTTTCATTGATTCCAGTGGACGGATTTATTGATAATATTTTTAGTGCCTCTTTCACAACTTTCCTTGAAAATTAGCGGAAACATGATGACATGTTTCATCAGATCGGTGATGCGGGCGGTGAGGTGCACCGTCACTTTACACGCCTCTGAGAAAAATGGAAAAGCCTTGTCACTCTCACGATTTCAAAAGAGACAATCTCATAAAACCGAGGACCGATCAGAGATACCTCCCCTCAAAAGCCTCTGCTTTGGGTGCAGCGCTGACCCACCTTTATTGACCAGGGAAAGGGTGCCGCCACTGTGGTCTGCAGGAGAGATGGTTTCCTGACTTAGACTCATTACCGAGGCTGCTAGACGTGAAAATCAACGTAAGGCAGTCGCGTGTGCCGGCCACAGAAAAGTGCGGAAATGTAGTTTAAATACAGATACCATTTTATGGAAATAAGTATAAAGTTCCTGGGGGCAAAGGTAACAGACGGAGTGTAGGACTATACTGGAGAAGGACCACGGAGCCTTGCTGGGTATGGTACACATCTTCATCCGGGAAAGTAGAGTGGAAGGGGGAGGTGGGCTGGGGTGAGTGCACCTGCCAGGCCCAGCAGGGGGAGGTGGTGCCTGGGGCCAGACAATGGAGCCCCATGAAGAACAGGTGGGGGATTCTCCCCACAACTGGGAGCTGCTATACAGCCGTCCCGAGAAGATGCAGAGTCACCTCGAGATCAGGTTGGCCCGAGCAGCCTCACGCTTGTGGACTGGGGCCTGGGACTCGGGGCACAGCAGCCCTGTGACACTGGCCTTGGAGCCCTGCTTCGTACCTCCCCCTGCCATGAAAATCCGGACCTAAATCGAGCCACACGGCTGGGCACAGTCAGGAGAGACACAAGGCACATATGCCGAATTTTCCCAGCATGGAGGCCTGGTCACGGGGGACGTGAAGGGCTCCCACTCAGAGCCCGAAATGAACCAAGAGTGCCAGGGGACGGCATCGGGCCCTCGCCAGGAGGAGCCTCGGTGCCAGCAGGAAGCTGGGGCGATACTCAGCCCTGTGAGTCCTCAGGGAGGCCATTTCCAGCCTCGGGTACCTGCCATCTGGCGACTGCCACACCTGCTGCAGCCCTCAGAAAGCAGGCTGGGGTTTGCAGGTCCGTTCTGAAGGGGCAAGTGCACTGTGACTTCACACGTACGCCCCCACGGGGCCAGCCCTGAGGACGGGCTGTGGGTCCCAGCAGAACTGTCATTCATAGCAACCCCCCGAGGCGAGAGCGGTCGGCCCATGCCGTTACCTGGGACCGCGCCCCCAGATTCACAGAAGGGTAAAGGATTGTGAGAGGTGCCTGGACATGCTGAGCAGCCTTCCGAAGAGTGGCTGGTGGGCCAGCGGTGTCGGCCACCCCCGGCCACTGTCCCCACATGCACGTTAACATGGCAGGCTGAGCCACCGGCACCAGAGGTGCTGTTTGCTGCACTGAGGACACGGCTGTGGCGCCTGAAGCACGCGGGAGAACCTTGGACCGTGGCGTCAGAAGCAGCGTTCTAAAACAGTGTCTTGTTTGAGGACACAGAGGGTGGAGCGGAAAAGCACGGAGTGGGAGGTGACTCTCGGGAAGGTGGCCCTCGCTCTCCTGCCTGTGAGCCAGGTGCTCGGAGGCGCCGCGGGCAGCCGCCCAGCGTCCGTCTGTCCGCCCGGGTTGCTTGACTCTTCGTCCCCCACGTGGTGCTCGGTGGTAGAGCTGCCTGCTCCCTGCTCTCCCCCAGCGGGCGGAGGACCCGCCCAGGCCCGCAGCGGGGACCGCGTCTCCTGACATTCTCGGGGACAGATCTGAACGGGTCACTGCCAACCCTCCACTCCCACGAGCGGTGCTGACGTGGACACACGAAGGAGCGCAGTCACACGTCCCATGGGGTTCGACCTCGCAGCTCAGCCCCCCCTTCCGACGCTTGGCGCTGCCGGCTCTGCCGGCTTCCGCTCAGATGGCCAGGGTCACAGTTTCTGGTCACTGATGCCCCTGAGCCCGTCCTCCCGCGCTTCCCGCCCATGGCCGGTTCACACACCCCCCGCATCCGTAACCGAGGTGGCCGCACTCGCTTTTGCCAAGTGCGTTAGACCGGCCCAGGCGGTGCTGTGGCCGGCAGCCCGCCCATGGCGGGTGGCGCCGTGCTCGCTGCTGCGGTGGCTTCCTGGCGGACCTCCTGTCCCGGCGGAGGACGTCCGGCCGCTTTCGCTCTTCTTCAGAGCTGAGCTCTCTCATTTCAGATGTATTCTGGAATAAGTTTATTGAGCTTCTCAAAAGCGCAGTGGAACTCCGTCAGGTGCTTTGCGTTCGTACAAAGCCTTTGGTAGCGTTGACGTCTGTGCTGCGTCTCATCCCCCATCTGAGGGCACAGCCTGGCTCGTGATTCAAGTCACCTTCCCTGTCCTTTATGAGGGTTTTACTGTTTTAAGGGTATTCTCAGTTAAGTAACCCCTGGGTAGTTTACAGATTCCGCTGAGAGTATGAATAGTGTCTTATTTTTTAAATTACATTTTCAGATTGATTATCGCTGGTGCGGAGAGATGCTATTGGTTTAAAAACACTTTTCTGAAATATTTTAAGATCTCCCAAGAAGAGGGGGCACGCCACACTGTGGGGCCACAGGGAGGCCGTGAGTGGGACAGGAGGCAGAAGGAGCCAGGGACAGTAGCCGCAGAAGCCTCTGCGGGAGGGAAGGAGAGGCGGGAGCGGCGGACAGCCGCGTGGACAGCCGCGTGGACAGCCGCGTGGACAGCCGCGGCCCTGGCGCAGGCGCCTCCTGTCGGCCCTACCCCGTGGGTGTTGGGGGGCGGGCTCCGGGCCGGCTGTCTGCACAGTTAAATTGACGTTTCCCGTTCGTAGCTCCGTGAACGTTCACGCGGGCGTAGACTCACGCGGCTCGGTGTGAACGCGGGTGAGGGCGGGGGCGGGGCCCGGGTCAGGCCCAGCTGGATGCCAGACGGGCGAGCGAGGCGCGCCTGCTGTGGGCCGAGGACGTTGCCCAGAGCTGTGGCAGGCGTCCAGGCTGTCCACGGGGCCCCTCCGTGGTGACCCGTGTATGGTAATTCGTCCACGGGGACCCGTCCGTGGTGACCCGTCTATGGTAACTCGTCCACGGGGCCCGTCCGCGGTGACCTGTCCTCAAGGCCTGTCCGCCGGGCCCCTCCTTGGCGACCCGTCCGTGGTGACCCGTCCGCGGGTCCTGTCCGCACGGCCCACCGCGTCCGCGGGATAAAGCGCGGAAGGCGGCGTTACGGACACGCGGTCCCCTCTGCAGATAAACTTCAACCTGATCCTGCTCCTTCTGCTCGAGCTCTTCACGGCGGCCACGGTGATCGTGTCCGCGCGGTCCGGAGAGGCGTCCTGCAGGCAGAAGGTGAGTCATCTCTGTGCGGACGTGGCCTGCGGGCGGGGTCACGCTGCCCCCTGCAGGGCACCCCCACCCTAGGATGCTCGCCCCAGGTCTGCGGGGTCTCGAGGGAGCACAGACGAGGTGCAGCCACACCTGGTCCGTCGTGAGGCTGTTACACAGAGACGCAGTCTGCTCAAAGCGCCACCGTGGGCGTAAACCCGTCTTCTGCCATCGAGCCCCGAGGTCACTGGCCACTTCCCGCTGCTCGCGGTTCTGACGTCGCCGCGTGACCGCCTGTGCCGAGGGCTGGGCGCCCGCCGGGTGTCCCCTTCGACGTCCCCGTGCGGTCTGTTTCAGGGTTCCATCGCTGACAGCAGCAACATTCTGTATGAAGTGACATTTCCTGCTCGGGTCCTGAAGTCCTATTCGGTGAGAAAACTCCCGTGTTCTCCTTGGGGGAGGGGACAGTTCAGGTTGGATTAAACCACCATACTTACGTCCCCAGACGAGCAGGCTGTGGCCGCAAGAAAACTCCCGTGTTCTCTTTATTTGGGGGAGGGGACAGTTCAGGTTGGATTAAACCATCATACTTACGTCCCCAGACGAGCAGGCTGTGGCCGCACTGGCGTGCGTGGATGTCAGTCTGTTAATGATGCAACTCCGGGTAGCACTGCTGGTGATGCAACACCCAGCTTGAAGGTGCTGGCACTTTCATTTCCGGGGGCAGAGTGTCACGTAGACAGACATCGATATCAGTGTGGACACAGGTTAGATATAAACCTGGGTTATGGGTAGACACAGGTTAGATACAGACCTGAGCTGGGTATGGATGATAAGGAGGTGTGTACGAGGTAACACACACTCTCCTGATTGACACCTGCCGTCCCTGAGGAATTTCGAAGCGCACCCCCTTCCACTCTCAGAAGCGCCCTGGTTTGAAGAATAAGTTATACAGGCACCGTCTCTTTTTACTTGAATTTTAAGTTTGTTTTTTTTTGTCTACTTTTATTACTGTGAACCTCCCACTCTGAGTTGGCATCGTCATTTTCTCTCTGTAATTCTGTAGATTTTTGCTGCGGATTTTTAGAGCCTGTGTTTTTACTTACATGCGAGTTGAGAACTGCTTCGCGGTGAATGTCTGTTTTTCCATCACCACATGACGACTCTGTCCTTAGCGATGGTGCTGGCCTTGAGAGCCACGCCGCCTGCGTAACGTTCGCCGATTCCCTTTGGTGCACGTTTCCCTGTGAGGCTCTGTCCTTCCTACGCTCAGCTTCTCTCGTCCTCGTGTGTCGGGACGTCTCTGCATTTTCGTGTTTGTCTGGTCTGCCGTTCTCTCCCTGGCCCGTGAGCGGAGCCGTTGGCTCCAGGCTCACCTACGGTTACCTTCGCCGGCCTGTTTTCCGTCGACGCCTTTCCCGCCTGCCTCCCGCGTCTCCCTCCCTTTCCCGCTCATTTTGGAAATCGCGGGTTCTCTGCCCTCTTCCGGAGCTCGTCCTCAGCCTTTCACCACGGTGCACTGCTCCTCCGC